CGGGTAAGCATTACCGCCCATGGGTCTCTTGTTTTAATTACAGGCCAAATGTTACAACAGGATACAATCAGTCCTATTAGATGAAAGAAATGAGCAGCTAGAATAAGAGGTCCCTTGTTAATTACATGTAGATGGAAATCTGTATGAAAAGCATAATTTTATGTCTACGTTATAAACTTTATATATACACACTGATTGCAATTGATCGCCCTCCGAGACCTTTAAAGCAGGATTTAAAGATATTTCTGTCTATGCATTTGCATTTAAATTGTTGATTAAAGTCAGGTTAGCCTACTTAAGGGCACATATGCTACTACAATGAAAAAAATTGGATGCATAGATTGGTATATATATTTTTTTGAACTTATTTTGGTCGTAAATGATTATGATGCATACATTAAATCTCTTTAAAACATATTAAGAAATTGTAGGCTTTCCATGTTGTTTAAATTTCTTCCGTTTTGTCAGTATAAATCCAAACAATTTTTTTTATCTCATTATAAGACATTTTTGAGAAATTTCAAAGAAAAATGAAACTTAAAGCTACTAAATTTATTCAGTTCACTTATTTAACCATACATTTACATCGTAGTTGCAACGTTCATGATTTTTTAAGTTTGATTGTAGCATCTTTCCTTAAAGGATTCCAGTAGGACACAAACAATTTAGGTAGAAATATTTATAAAATACATTTATTAATCATACAATTTGAATAACTCAAATGCACAAAAGCTGGCAACATATACTTCAAGCATCAACCCCCATCCAACACCTCCCCTCAAATGCACCGTGCATAGAACATTTCAAATACGTTATGTATATACAACGTATAATTAACATATTCAAAAGTGTAAATCTCTGCAATGAAGTTTTTTCATAGAAAATTCATTTTTAAAAGATTTTCATTTTACATTAAAAAAAATAATAATAATTAAAGTCATATGGAACATAATACAAAAACAAGCACTTTTCCGTGCAAGTTCAAACTTTATGCCACCCAAAATTTGGACATATCGCTATTTTTCACATACGGTGAATACTAGTGGTAGTGTCTACTCTATCTCTACAGCGGTGTTAACAACAAGAAAATGTGTGGGGGCGTGTTTGTGTGTGGGAAGGAGGGACCATAAATATTTCTTTTACTCCTTCCTACCTTTCTTCCCCTTTTTGTAGAGCCCTGATTTTTCTTTTTCATCGTAAATTGTCTGCATGCATACATGGTCTTAAACACTGAGATGTAGTTTCCACTTGACCCCAACCTTTTAGTTTTCTTTGAACAGTGAAACTTGGATGTTGCCGTCTTCCATCAATGTCTTTTGAAAGTCAGTCAGTAGATCCAGGGACCTATATATTTAGTATATAGGTCACTGGTAGATCTCTTAATTTTGTTTTGAGTAAAAGTTTCTGAGGGACAATTAGGTACGCACCTACATAAAAACACATTTATACTCGTAAACTGCGGCCTGATAATTCGAAATTCTATAATAAACAGAATCGAAATCAATGCCCCTCCGCACTATCAACTTTCTTATATGAACTGCATATATTTTTATAACAGTGAATGTATAATCGCGCAAGGAAATAAATTAATTGTTTTTCGATTGCGTTGAGATGATATAAAGAATAATATAGCATTGATCGAATATTATATTACTTCATTAAGATAGTTGTGACTATCACATTTTTGCATGATTTGCAGATTATTTTAGCACAAATATCACGAGTGCGTGTATAACTACGCTAGGAAGTTAATTAATTTATTGCTCTGTGATAATAAAGAAATAAAGCATTGATTCGAGGTTATAAATCTCCCATAGTTAATGAACTCCATATCACTATATCCACTAGACAAAACTGCTAACGCACCACTCTATTTTCATCTGCAAACACGAGATCTGCCTCATCTACACGAGCCAATCTGCCATCTTGCCCACTGCAGTCGAATTTGCCAGTGTCGTCTTTCAATATTACCCCCTCAAATGGCCCTCTTACACGCAAATTAATTTCCCGAAACCGATTGCACACCTTGGTTGGCGGTTACCGATGGTTGTCAGCTAGAGAAGTTGCAACAGCGATGGAGACCTAGCTGTCTCACAGATATCAAGCAAAATTAATGTCTAACATGTCACCTAGTAGTCTTTCTATGGTCAAACGCTGCGTATCGTCTGTCTGTCTGTCCGTCCGTCCGTTACGCTTTGGGGTACCCATCTCTTATCCGCAACGGGCGGGGGTATCATTTTGTGAGCTCAGCATGACGGACGGACACCCCCATCACTACCCCCCCCCCCCCCGCTTTTCAAGTGGGGGTATAAAAAAAGGAAACGCGGTGGAGTTACATTCGGAGCTTTATATTTGGTATTATATCATGTATATTAAGCTAATATAATTTGACCAAGGTACTATGCTGACCATCCTGCTTTTCCGCAATTTTATTTTTGCAACCTGGTTGCTTTTCCGCGACTATTTCACACTGCTTTTCCTCGATTTTACTATTTTATGTGTTATGTCTCTTTTTTGATACCTCGATCCTTTCCGCTATTTTTAAACGTGTCACACTTAACGTTTAGCATCAAATGGTTGCTGATATTTATCCGTATTTCCCCCAATAGAGTTCTATTCCGTAGTGAATACTAAGTGACTACTTCACGGTGGGATTAAAATTGAACGAATTTCGCATTTTAATCTGGTCGGTGACAGGTTTTAGACTTTTTGGAAATTGTTCATACAGAAATAAATCGTGCGTCTATTAGTTAGTATACGTACAGGTCTCCCTCACTTGACTCTTTACACACAGGAACTTAATTGGCGAATTTTTGTATTCCTTACAGCAAAAATATAACCCCTACCGAGATTTATTAGTTTTGAGCATATACATTTTTTTCATAAGAAAAAAATATATATATTAAGTCAAATGCCTTTGTCTGTACTTTATTCAGTAATGTCTTTATATCTACCCAACAAAACAAATATATATACTACTTCAGATTTTTTCTTGGGGGGGGGGGGGGGGATCAAGTTTAAAAAAAAAGCAGTTAAAAATATGAAAGGAATGGGAACAAAAACTTTGCAAATATAAATGCAATTTCTTGGCAAAGAGGGAATGTACCAAGTATTAAAAATCTAATTAACACTTTACAATGGGTTGAAAAATGGTTTCTTAATGTATACATCTTAACAAGAAAAAGGTTTTGCGATTATGTATATGATTTATTTGTAAGCGGAGGACGTCAAAAGTTTTATTATAGCTTAATCTCGACAGTGAAAATCCTAGTTCGTTGACCTCCAGCCCGTCTTCCCCCGACTACATATATGGATTCGCCTTTGAGAATGATTGATTGATTGATTGATTGTATGTTGTTTTACCTCTCATTCGGGAATATTTCACTCATATAGAGACGTCACCATATACCGGTGAAGGGCTTCAAATTTAGACCTATACTCGGCACTCAAGGCTATTGAGCAGTGAGGGTAATCTCAGCTGAGCTGTAATCTGAGATTACAGTGAGGGTTCCTTATCGTGCCAACGCCTACTGTGACACGGGATCGACCTCGGTTTTTAAGGTCTCATCCGAAAGACCCGTGACTTTCACTTCTGATGCTGGGCTCTTGGCGAAGGAACAGTCACTACTTAGCGGCGAACGAGAATCGAACTTGGGCTTCCCGATCACGAAGCATACGCCCTACCACTAGGCTACTGTACCGTGACCGGTTAAATTAAGAAGATTGAAATAAAGAAGGATGAAATAAATGATAAAGAAAATATATAACATCGAGCACGGAGCAACATTTTTGTTGCATGAAGAATGTGTGTGCAAATTTAGCAAAGGAAATATGTCCAATTCCAGTCAAGCAAAAAGGGGAAAATGCTTAAATAATCGGATAAAAGCAAATTCTTCAAAATAACACAATTTTGATACAAAGTAAATGTCTAATTTGTTCGTTCATTTAAATGCATATATATTGAAGGCCTTTCTATGTGCAAATCGAAATTTTGTGTATTTTAACCTGCAACTTTATTTGTTACATCCCTTTGCTTGTACGTATTTCGAAACAAAAAAAAAAACAACAAAAAACAAAAACAAAAAACTTAAGAACGAAGCAATAAATGAACGACTTAGTGTAGGCCAAATACGAAAATAACGAAATAGCTTTATTCAATGTTGCTAATCAAAACAAAATGGTGGGAAAAGCAAGTGCTACCTAACTCACGTCTCACCTTTTTGTACTACAAGGGTAAGGCTGTGTTCAAGATATGATTCAAGGAGACAAACATTCGTTCAAAACTATTGTATTTAGACACATCATACTTTTATTTACATAGTTCGTCACTATATTTTAGAATTTTATCGCTACATTTGACTGTCATATTGACATTTGTTCTTTTCCCGAGTTATCTCTTCGTCATTTTTACAATTTTAAATGGGCTATTTTTTCCCTGAGATCCGAAATCTTCTTATGAATTTGTAGACTAATAGTTTAAAGCTCTTAATCATAAAGTAAATTTACAATACAGACATATAGACTGAACTTGATAAAACTAGCATCGAGGCTATGTGCATGATTTGGTTGGAGAAAGATTTTCTCTCTGAGTAAAAATAATGGAACATACACATGTAATAAATAGAGAAAAAGAATTCGAGTAAAACACTGTAGAGCATTTGACTGATTTCTGTATAAAGCACCATTTGTTGTGTAAATTATATTTTGCATTGTCGTCAATTAATTAATATTCTATATCCAACCACAGGAAATTCATTGGGAAAAAAATGTCTTTCGATACATACTTTTTTATTTTGTGGTTGTCTGATAATAAAAAAAAAGTCAGCCATCTTGCTTTTTAAAGAAGATTGTAAATCAAATAGTGTGGATGGTAAAAGCAAGCACAAAAAATTGTGCCATTTTAAAAATTTTGTAAATCAGAAAATGGCATATGGACCAATCCTAAACCCCACAGCTTTATTTTTCAGCGTCAATGATATTATTATTAATTAATATTTCAGAATTTTTTATCTACTGTGACCACAATGGGTAAAAAGAAAGGAAAGAAAGGGGGAGGAGGGAAAAAGGGAAAGAAAGGAGGAAAGAAGAGCAAGGAACCCCAGATGACAGCTAAAGAGGCAATATTAGGCTACCAGTATGAGTTTACTTTCATTGTACAGACCTCTTTTTTTTTTAAATCAATAAGATAAATGTTTTATCTTTTCAACCAAGTAATATTTTGCACAATGAAAAAAAAATGATATTTGATAAGGCAATTTACAAAATGACCAGTATCAAGTTGCTTCTATAGCCCCGAAAAAGTGGATCACAGTTCATAATTCAGAGAATAGAACCCATCACAGAATCATTAAAGGTAAAATTTTCATCAAACCTTGAATTAATTTTTCAGAATAGGAATAATTGAAAAGAAACTTGAAGATGTAATGTATGAAACTAGAGGATGGGAGGAGAAAAACAAAAAGCTTTCAGATCGGGTGAGTAGTAACAAGCTGATTAGACTTTCAATAAGGAGTAAAACTAAGGAGACTTTTAACACAATGCAAATCCTAGTGTTCTTCATATTCTATTTATTGCTATATTTATACAGTGCATTACCATCAGTGGCCAAGCTATGTCAAAACATTTTGATCATCATCAGGGTGTGATGACAAAGACAGTACTCATATTTTCAACTTCTTTAATTTCTGCCTTTGTGGTAGTGTCAAGACCTGGCAGTCCCTTGTCTTTAGTTTCCCTTAAATATGTCTTGTGCCAAATGCAGTCTTAGAAAGAAATAGTTGTGCTGGTGAGTCTGGTCATGACAAATAAACCTCTGGCAATTGACATTTATGATTAAGGCATCTTTAAAAGCAATTGCACTCTTACACCAACAGATATAGATTAGATTAATGTGTGGTGTCTTAACTGACATCTGACAAAAATATTATTGAAGTCCATGTATTGCCCTCTTTTCATGCATAATTTTTTTTTTAATTTTTAAGAAAGCTAGTAATGTTTTTTTCCTCCTACATTTAGAATGCAAACCTCCTTGAAGAGCAAGAAGTCTTGATTAAACATTTACTGGAACAAGCCAAGAAGGCAGACCAGTATTTTGCAGACGAGGAAATAAAACGCAGAGAAGATGTCATCTTGTGTATGAAGGACAAATGGGATCGTCAGAGAGAACTGGAGAAAGAGATAGAGGGTATAAATAACAGATGATATGGGCAACTTAAAACCAAGGCTTTGGAAAATAAAGTAGAAATAAAACAGGGATTATATGTTAATAAAACCAAGGCCTTGAGAGATAAAGGACAAATAAAGTAAGGGTTGTGTGTAACTAAAAAAAGACCATTGAGAGATAGAGGGGAAATAAAACTCAGATTTGAGATCAAGTCAATGTCAATTGATTCTTTAGAATCATTGAGGTCTGATCAAAAGTTCATAAGAACTATTTTCTGTTTAATTTTTTTATTTCTGTTCTTCATTATTCACTTTAGTAGACTTAAATTATGACAAATATTTTAAATTTATTCTTTCTTTTTTTTTTTTTTTCATTTTTTGGTGTTGGGTGGAGTTACAGCTCCTAGGACATAAACTCAACATGTAATGTACATTTAACAAACGTGGCAGATACTGGGGTATTCTCTTAGGGTCAGTCATTAAAATTTTTGTAAGCAGTGGTGAAGATTAAATTTTTTTTTCATGAATCACTGTGAAATCACTCATTTTCATGAGGGTGGGGTAATTTTATTTGTTTTATGGCATGAAGAGACCAATGAATTCATGTCCTCTATGAAATGTAAAAAAATAAAATATGTAACATACCACTCTACACTTCTTCAAACATAAAATCAATCCCCACAAACCAAAAATTTTCCTGAAAACCATGAAAATTTGACACCGTCAAAATGATTGATTTTACATTACTGGTATTTCAATGTGTATTTAATTTTTTTCTGATTATGTATATGTATGTACGCTCTTGAAATTTATGTCTGTATAAAGGAGCAATGAAATAATTTCCCTGTTTTGGGGTATTGAATAGGAATAAAGAAGAAGATTACTGATGTGGAGGAGGAAATAAAAGCTGTCCAGAAAGATGTAGATTACTGCAAGGAGTACCGCGATGTAGAACAACACAAAAACAAGAAACGGATCAATCTACTGGAGGCTGACATTGAAGACATGGAGGCTAGCTTCCAGGAAATGAAAAGTAAGTGACCTGGAATGTACAGAATATTGAGTTCATCATGACAAGGCACTGTTACAATTACTGTAGAAGTGTAGTGAATGAGTTACATATATTGCAGAAGATTCCGTGTAAGTTACTAGTATTGTATACATTTTAATGTATGTTACTCAGATAGTGTACGTTACAGTTACAGTGTATTACCCATCTTTGCTAGCCAAGGGTTTCCGATCCGAAATCTACTCTAGATTTCGGATCGGAAACCCTTGGCTAACAAAAATGTGCCTTACCAAAATTTAGGTCGCCCTCTTGGCGCAGGGTTAGAGCATTTGCTCTAGAGTAAGGAGTTGATCCTTACGTCTTGAATTGTAATTAACTGTTAAGTTACAAATAGTTCAAATCCTAGGAGAGCTTATAAAGCTTGGAATACATATACCGGGTATATATACATAGTGCACAGTATCAGGAATTTAATGAAATTAAAGGAAAGTAAATTTTTTTTTTATCAGCTCATTTAGAGAAGTCCAATGAGAGAGCAAAGAATGAGATCACATCACGAACAGAGAGCATGTTAGATAAACAAAAAGACCTTGCCACTCAGGTTTGCATCCGTATAATTAGCTAGAAATCTTCAAAGGGAAATAACTCTTCATTTATCCATTGTGCAATTCATTTTTCTTAAAAACATATATTATATAAATATTTCAGAAAGCCATTTCAAAACTTGACAAATACAGTCAGCGAGAAGTACTTGATAATGAGTGGCTGACAAGAGAGGTATGTGGAAAGGTTTTATTATAAACAAAACAATGTGAGCAACAACTGTTATAAAAACTTAGATACTGGTACACATGTAGAACTTAAAGTTCAGAGACTCAAACTTTTCTTTTTTCATGTCAAAAACAGTAAAATGGATTATTGTTAATAATGCCATTATGATTAAGAAAATGATATGTGTATTGTATTAAATTACTTATAGGTTAACATACACAGACAAGATACCTCGGTTTTGAGAGAAAAGGTGGAGGATCTGGAGAAAGGAAATTTGGAAATCATGGCTGACCTATTTGAATGTAAAATAGAGGACCTAAAGATCTCAAGGTAATATTACATGTAGCACTGAGGATCTAGCTGTGACATGCTGAGTATTGACTATGAGGTTGATGAAGTTCAATTTAAGACACTGACTTGCCATTATTATGTTCAATGTTTTCATTTAAAAAAAAAAATAAATGAGAAATATAAGCATGTTCACAGAGGTGAACTAGACCCAATGCATGTGTGTATTATACAGTTGGCTTATTGCTTAGATTTTAAATGTAATAATTCCCAAGAGCTGAAAAAGAATTATTGCATTCTTTGCAGGAAATTCTTTTTAACTCAGTTTGAAGAGAATGAGAATTTAGAAGAGACTGGGGTTCTGGAGATGGACCTAGCCAATCTGTCAATCAATAATAGGCCCGCCTCCAAACAGATGGAGCTGTATGACAGCGGTGATGGAGATGGGGCTGTCTATAAACCTGTCGGTAAGGGAACCAGTATCTAAAAATAAAACCCAGTTTGAAGATGAAAAAGTTGATTTTTGAATCAGTATAATAAACCTGCAGTTTTTGCCTTGTGAAATATTTGACTGTATGGTTGCATGGAAACATTTCAAATTAAGCAGACACCAACAATGGTTACACATATATACTTGAAATTAGCACTGGTCTTTTCTTTAAAATACCTGTTATAATTATTTTATACCACATATTTGTATATTTTTAAGTGAGACCAAAAAGTGCCACACAGAGGGCAGTAGAGGAGAAGGTGTTCTCTCTTGCCAGGGGAATGACGGTAGAATCGGACGAAGACAGCGACAATGGTGAGTTGTAAAGTCTGAGGGAAAGTGGAGATTGAAATGGAGGGGAAGGGTGTAATGGAAGTGATTATAGAAGAAGGTGAGGAGGGGGTCATAGAGAAGAGGGTGGGCCAAGTGGAAGGGAAGAAGTCTCCTCACATAGTGTGTATATGGAGGGAAGCAAGGAATTCAGCAACTGATTCTTCAAAATCTACCAAACTTTTTAGAGAAAAATCATTTTTTAGAGTTTATAATGTTTTTATAATATTTTTTATTTTTGCATCCATATTGATGGAATTAAGGCAGTTGAAATCTAACCAAAAAACCTAAAGGGATTTTTGGCAGCTTTAACAAGGAGAAAGATATCAAAATTGACTGCCTTTCTACTAAGGAAAACAATTATTAATAGATGGAATATATTGCTGTTTTCAATTAAATTAATGTTATTGGGAATATTTCGAACATATTTAGTGGAACATATCTAGTGCAGGAACAAAGACAATGACCTAACAAGTACATAATCATCTTTCATGTTTAATTGTACATAAGAAAATATATATCCTTAGTATATTTTTGTAGTGAGTGATGATACAGAACTACTGGACAATATGTATTTTGAAGAGGAGGA